TTTGATCAATTTTGATTCTGGCTCCTACATCTGGCTTGCTGCTCTTTGACTTTTAGTGGCTGGGACTGGGGAGTTGTGGCATATCTCCTTTGATGGCCTCACCAGCTCCCTCAGCCCCTGGAATGGGGATTTACCAGTGCCCACAACAAGATGAGCCATTTCCTTCACAGTTCTTGGGTTCTGTGAGACCCTGCATTGAATTTCGGAATGTTAAAATTTGAAGGACTAGATGAAGGGCAAGAATGGCGTTTGATAGTCAATTCAAGCAGATTTTCAGTGCTAGTTAGATTTTTTTCCCCTATAGTCTTACGGATTTAACTGTTTTACTGACATAATTCACATATCATAAATTTCAGCAGTTTAGTCATATTAAAATTAGTTGTACAGTCATCACTATAATAAATTTTATTACATTAAAAAAAAAGAATAATGGGAAGGTATAGCTATCTGAAAATGTTGAACATTTTAATCCCCATAACTTCATGTCTAGTCTTGCATTAATTTTATAAAATAAATAACTTTTGCAATGACACATTGAACCATTATATTTATCCACTGCTTTTTATACATGGAGAAACCAAAGGGCGAACTCAGAACATGTTCTTTTAAACATCATTCCACAGATAATCTTCTATTGGCTAAAATCAAACCATCAAACAAAAACAAACAAACAAAAAGAACCAACCAACTATGCAAATATCCTAACAGAGTCTCTTTCTGAACTATCTATGGTTTAAAATATTCTTTGAAAATATCTTCTGTGCTATATTTGATCAATAAACATCTTCTCTCTTACTCCTATTCTCTTCCTCTGCCTAAACTCCTGCCCTCAGGTATATTCTGACTCACTGTGACCCTATCAGACAGAATAAACCTACCCCTTGGAGGATGTCAATCTTTACAGGAGCAGAAAGCCTCCTCTTTCTCTCAAGGAGCAGCTGTGGGGTTAGCAGGCTAACATGAAACCCAAAACACCACCAGGTCTCCATTTTTCCTTTACTTAACACTCAAGAAATCTGGACATTTCATTCCCAGAATTCATACTAGCTACAGGTCCGCATATAGGTCCCTCCCATTGGTGATTGCAAGACAACATTGAAGTGCCTTTATAGATTTTGCTGCTGCTGAGCAAGACTGGAGGATTTTAGGGCTGAAGGAAAGGAAGAGATCTACAAGTTAGTTCCATTGTTAATGATTAGACACCATATTAACAGATGCATCTTCCTTCCTGTGCTTCATGTGATCCAGAATGAAACAACTATGACTGTATTAAAAAAGGAACACCAATTATAACTTGTTTTGGTGCCATAAACTCAAGTTTCCATCTGAAGAATTTATTTTCATAGGGTACTTTTTGTGGTTGGAAATTAAGATTCATGAATCTTAATAAAAAATATGCTATAGTTTACAAATTTGCATCTGGAAAAGTAAAGGTAGTGCTGTTTTTGTTTTCCTCTGTGTTTTTTCTTATTACATAATAGAGACACCATTATTGGTTCAGTCTGTATAAGACAGTGACAGTCATCGTTAGACTATAGCGCACAATTGCTATGCATAGCTCTCATCACCAAATTCTACAAAAGCTTCCAACAGACTTATTTTCTGGAATTTTAAGAACTAAAATTAGTCTATTCCTATTTTCTATATTAGATATTCTATTTAGAGCACATGCTGTTTTTTTAGTTTTAGGTTTTAATGCATGTGTATTTCCTGAAGAGTCTTGCGATATATCTCACTACTTTAAAAATAGATCATAAAGTGCTATTTCTGCTCCCAGAAATCATTTGCTCAATAGGACAGTTCTTACACTGTAGGGAGATGTGTATTATTCTTTGGATGACCCATGTGGTATTATATTTCTGAAATAAATCTATATAGAGAGAGCACACATTTTATAAAGAAAATTAGCTACTTCAAATAATAAGGAAACCCTTATGGTGGCCATAAATTGACTCCATGGCACATGGTTTGGTTTGGATCATCAGAGAACAAAGCAAGAGAAAGTTAGAAAGAAGGCTTACCCCTCTCCTATCTCCCCCCCAGAACAGGGTTTCACTGGCACATTGCCCCACAAAAGGATCCAGAAGTTTTACGGACTCCAGAGGGTAGAGAGGAGGATAAAAGGAGGACTAATAGTGGGAAAGTACTGGATAGTGTGTCAGAACAGAGAAAAGTAGTTTCAAATTCTTCCCTTCCTCTTGACAAGAGCTTAAGCAGTGCATGGTGCTAAGGCTTCTAACCATGGTACCTGAGAAAGAGGCCTCTGTATGAAAGCATGTGGTTTGGATATGCAAGATTGCAGCGGAGGAATGTGGCTAGTCAGTGGGTCCTTTCGAAGGAGGCTTAATCTTTAGCCAATTCCTTTCAGAAACTGCGATTTATTAGCTATAACCAAACTTGGCTCAAGAGTGCAGGCTTCCAGCTAAGGCCTGACAGGTAAGCTTGGTAATTCAGGGTGACCAGAGCTAAAAACCCAGATATAGAGAATATAATCTTCTGATACCCTGAATCCTATCTACTGGTCTCCAGAATTGTGAGAGACTGAGTTATATTGTTAGATTGTTTGTGGTGCATAGTTATAACAGACCCAGGAACTAACACACCCAGTATTTATGGTGACCTGTGGTGAGAGCCATTCTAAAATATTATTTTCAGATCAGAGCACACAGGAGCAGGTGAAGAGGGAAGGAGAGAGAGTGGAACATATCCTGGCCCACCAAGCCCAGAGGATGATATTCCTGCTCAGAACAACCAATGCACAGAAAGAGCCATAGGACCTTGTGGTAGTTACCTAATCTGGTGTCAATTTGAGAATTAAGAATGTAGGGGTGAAGTCTAGCCTGTTGATCCAGAGATAGCCAATGAGACCTCGGTATGGGCATGACCTTCTCCTGAGAATTCTGGGAACTCCTATTTTTCCTCCTTGGAGGTAGGAGACACACTCTCTTTCTGCTCACTCCCTGGGAGACATTGCAGCTGACAAGACACATGGAACTATGCTAGTGCCCTGAGCAGAAGCCACGTGGACCTACCCTGATGCAACCAGACCTCTGAAGCCAGAGACGCCACGTAGAGATCCCTGCCGGCGCTGAGATGCTTACAACGCCACTAGATTCAAAGACCTTCTACCCACTGGCCTCTGGTCATCCTGCATTGGACTGGACTGGGTCGGGATGCTTTCTTAATGTACAATTACCCTTTGCATAAAACTCTCTCGTATACACATCTGAGTTTCTATGGATTGGGTTCTCTAGTCTACTCGAACTAGCCCAGGCCTCTTTCTGTGGCAGTTCAAAATCTGTTTCTTCTAGGTGCGTTGCTAGGTTCAGGTCCTCCACAAACATTATGTTTTGTTTCTCTTGCTTTTCTGTAGTGGCTGCTGATGTGGGTTGTTGTCTTTTGGCATTTTGGTGGATCTTGGTGTTTCTTTCCTTAGAGTCAAGGAATCCTGTGATTTCTTTCTCAGAAACTAGTATGAATGATTCTAAGGACTAATTGGAGCCAGCTGGCTGTGGATTTGATCTGCATCTCTATCTCACTGTAGGTGACTCTCTCCCTTGACAGCCCAAGCTATCTATATATTTGCAGGGCGATGTGAGTGACTCTCTTAGAGATGGTGGGGCGATTGCAGGCAGTGAGGGTGGGGCTGGGCCACTCGGGGACCTGGGCACAGAGGATGGTGGGGGAGTACCTATTTAGTTGGTAAGTTGAGAAGACTAGGTATTGTTGAGGGGTAGGAAACAGGTGCTACATGTTGTGGTGGTTGGGGTACGTGATGGGTATGTTGAATCTACCAGGGTCCTTTATCAATCCTGCAAATTGTGAAAGGAAGAGGGCAGACCTTTAACGATTTAAAACAGAAGGCCTCTTTATAGTAGGACGCTGAACAACTCTGAGTTCTCCTCTCCTGTACAATCCCTAGGTAGCTAGAGGCTATTATTGTGGGTGCCGCTGTGAGGCCGTGTTTCTGTTCAGAAGGTGGACTGGGTAGGCTCAATGGGACTCCGTGTTCATTGGCTATCTTGCCAAGCGTGGGGAAGGTCACTCAGTAACCCTGACGTGATGAATCCCGATTCCTGCGGTGGGGAAAGGAGTCCCGTGTTTTCTTTCTCGGAAGCTAATACAAATAGGTCTAACAACTATCTGGAGCTAACTATGCTAAGAGTTCATGTTGTGTCTCTGTCTCCCTGTGGGCTGGCCCTCTCCCTAGAAAGCTGCAATCTTAATTGGCGTGTTTAAAGGAGGTTGTGTGTCGCTGACACGAAGGGAGCAGGTGCCAGAGGTTATCATGGTTGGGGTAAAGGAGGAGTCTAGTGAATCCACCAGAGTCCCTTGTTGACCCTGCATATTATCTAGAGACAGTGTTTGCTGGTATGATGTCTTACTGCCTTGTGGTCTTGTAGGGGGTCAAAGAGTGGGTAGGATTCAGGCTAGGGCATGATTTGGTGTCTGGTATGGATGTGAAAGCTGTATTCTTGTGGTTGAGTTAATTATCTTGAGAGAATATGTGTCTAATGAATCGGGTCAGAGGGGATGGGGATGGTGGAGGTCGCCAAGTGGGGGTGAGGGGATGGGGTCTATTCCTGTAGCCCACCGAAGTAGCATAGGGGAATGGAGTATAGCAATGTCTTACTCATCAGGCTGGTGTCTTTTATGGAAGACTTTTTTGCTGACTTATATTTTGTGGTCTTTGAACAGTCTTTCAAAGACTCTTTGTCAAGCCCAAACTGGTAAAACCTGTTTTGGGCTGAGGCCCAGGACATTAGCTCCTGGTGGTTTTTCCTGCTTTGTTATGTTAAAGATTTATTAATGTACTTGGCAGTAGAGGCTTTCATTCAAAGTACAAAAAGGAACAGCCTCAGAATGACCAGAGTTTTCTGAGGTCCCTTGTTGTTTTAGGGGCTTGTAGGCTCTCCTGGTATTGGGGCTGTGCTGTCCCCCAGGCAAGGGGGATTAGGTTGGCTGTGTGGGTTTGGGGTTCACTGGGCTGAGATCTTCTGACTGCCCTCCTGGCTCACTCCTGTGCTCCAGGGAATCTGCCATCTGCCGCAGGTAAATAGCCCAGAGTCTCTCTGATTGTAGTAAATTAGTGTCTAATCCTCTATCATTACCCAAGCTGACAGGCTGAGATAGCTGGGGAGAAAAGGTGGCTGATATGGTTGCTGGTCTCTGGGTGGGGAGGGGAGGTGCAAAGCCTGCGAATGCACAAGCGAAGAGGGTAACAGAAAGTGGAGTACCTGGAATGAGCTCTTGTGGCTCATTTTTGGAAGCTTTCTGCAGGCCTGGGATTACGGCCACCCTTAGACAGCAGTCTGGGGAAATTACTGCACGCTTGGATCTCAGGGGCAGCAGACAATGTCCCACTGGACCTGGTGAGGGATGTGGCAACCCCACGGACAGATGTGGTGAGCTTAGAGCATCACTGTGGGTGAAAAATCATAAGGGGAGGTTTGAACCACAAACCCTAGTACACTGAGATTCTATTTCTAGCACCTGGCCTCCCAATATGGCCTCCTTACCTCTTAATTTTCCCATCTAACCATGGGAGCACCAGGTGATCCAACCTGGACACGTCTTGAGACCCTGCTCTTTGTCTTTTTGACAATTAATGGTACATCAATACCACAATTCAAACCCATCAATTCTTTTTCCATCTTCCTTATTTAATGTCCAGCTTTCATATGCATATGAGGCAACTGAAAATACCATGACTTGGGTCCGGCACACCTTTGTCCTCAAAGTAGCACCCCTGCTTGTCAATATTCTAAAAAGATTTAAAGCAGCAGATTTGCCCAAAGCAATGCATCCTTTGATCTTCGGACTGCTGCTTTCATGAGCATCGATTGTGGATGGGATCCAAGCAAGACGGAATCCATGGCGACTTCAATCTTTTCTCCATTTGTCACAATGTTACCTATTAGTCTAGTTGGGAGGATTTTGATCTTGTTACTGTTTAGTTTAGTCCATACTGAAATTGTTGGTCTTCGTCAGCACATGCTTCCGGTCCTACTCACTTTCAGCAAGCTAGGTAGTGTCACTTGCACAAACCCTCCTCCAATTTTTTCCCCTCTTTTTAAAATCATTTTATTGGGGGCTCTTACAACGCTTATCACAATCCATCCATCCATTGTGTCAACCATATTTGTACATTTGCTGCCATCATCATTCTCAAAACATTTGCTTTCTACTTGAGCCCTTGGTATCAGCTCCTCATTTTTCTCCTCCCTCCCCACCCCCCAAACCTTGATAATTTATAAATTATTATTATTTGTCCTTCCTCCAATCTTAATGCCATGTTTGTCTACATCTAATCCAGCTTCTCTAATCATTTGCTCAGCATCCAGATTGAATAGGTATAGTGAGAGGATACAACTCTGACACACACTGTTTCTGATATTAACCATGCAGTATGCCTTTGTTCTATTCCCACAGCTACCTCTCAATCCATGTACAAGTTCCACATGAGTGCAATGAAATATTCTGGTATTCTTTTCAAGACTATCCAGGTTTTTTTTTTGTTTGTTTGTGTAATTTTTTTTATGGTCCACACAGTCAAATGACTTTCCATAGTCAATGAAACACAAGTAAACATTTTTTTGGTATTTTCTTATTTCAGCCAAGATCCACCTGACATCAGCAATGATATCCCTTGTTCAATGTCTTCTTCTGCATCCAGCCTGAACTTCTGGCAGTTCCCTCTCAGTGTATTGCTGCAAAATGTTGGATGATCTTCAGCAAAATTTTACTTACATGCGATATTATTGATTATGATCTATGATTTGATCATTGTGTTAGGTCACCTTTCTTTGGGAAAAGACCACATATGTAAGCTGGAAATTGTGTATCACTTCCCGTCAGTTAGCCAAGTAGCTACTTCCAAATTCCCAGGTAGAGATGAGTGCTTTAAGTGCATCATTAGCTTACTGAAACATTTCCATTGGTATTCCATCAATTACTGGAGCCTTGTTTTTGGCTTATGTTTTCAGAGCAGCTTGGACCTCTTTCTTTAGTACCATCAGTTCTTTCTCATATGCTACCTCCTGAACTGGTGGAATGTGGACTCGTTCTTTTTATGACAGTGATTTTGTGTTTTCTTTTGATGTTTCTGTCTTCTTTTGATGCTCCCTGTATCATTCAATATTTTGCCCACAGAATGTTTCATACTGGAATTTGAGGCTTGGATTTTTTTTGATTATTTTAGCTTAGATATGCTGAGCATGTTCTCCCTTATTGTTTTGGTAACTCTATGAAATGTCTTTGCACATTTCATTATAACATTTTATTTTATCTTCTGGCGTTTCCCCTTGAAATTTTCTGTTCAGCTTTTTAACTTCATAATTTCGCCCATTACTAATAGCTACATCATTTGGGAATCTCTTCTGACATCTAATTTGATGTTTTATTTCTTTCTGTCTTTTTAATTGATCATCTGCTTTCTTCATGAATGATGTTCTTAATGCTCTCCCATAGCTCATCAGGTTTTCAGTCACTAGTGTTTAATGCAGCAAATCTATTCTTGAGATGCTCTCAACATTCATGTGAGAGAGATTCAAGGTCATACTTAGTTCTTAAAAAAAAACTTTTATTGGGGGCTCTTACATCTCTTATCACAATTCATACATTCATCCAGTGTGTCAAGCACATTTGCACATATGCTACCATTATCATTTTCAAAGCATTCTCTTCCCACTTGAGCCCCTGATATCAGCTCCTCATTTCTTCCCCCTCCCCTGCCCGCCCTTCTTCACAAACCCTTGATAACTTATAGATTATTATTTTCATATCATACAGTCCTCCATCACCCCTCGCCCACCTTTCCATTGTTTTTCCCCCTGGGAGGGGGGTTCTAGTTTGATCCTTGTGATCCTTTCTTCACCCACCCTCCCCTAATCCTCCTGGTATCTCTACTCTCCTCGATGGCCGTGAGGGGTTTATCTCTCCTGGATTCCCTGTGTTGCAAGCTCTTATCTGTAGTAGTGTGCATGTTCTGGTCTAATCTGATTTTTAAGGTAAAATTGAGGTCATGATAGGGGGAAGGGGGTGGGGGGGGGAAGCACCAAAGAACTAGAGGAAAGTTGCATGTTTCATCAGTGCTATACTTCACTACACCCTGACTGGCTCATCTCTTCCCTTTGACCCTCCTATGAGGGGATGTTCAATTGTCTGCAGATGGGCATTGGGTCTCCATTCCATGCCCCACCCCCCATTCACATTGGGTATGATTTTGTTCTTTGTCTTAGATAACTGATACCTGATCCCAACAACACCTCATGACCACACAGGCTGGTGTGCTTCTTCCATGTGGGCTTTCTTGCTTCTCAGCTCGATGGCTGCTTGCTTATCTTCAAGCCTTTAAGACTCCAGGTGCTATATATTTTGCTTGCCAGGCACCATCAGCTTTCTTCCACATTTGCTTATGCACTATTTTGTGTTCAGCGATCTGTCAGGAAGGTGAGCTTCACAGAATGCCAGATTGTTAGAACAAAGTGTTCTTGTGTTGAGGGGGTACTTGAGTCAAGGCCCAATGCCCATCTGCAACCGTAATTCTTAACATATAGATATGAGTACATAGTTCTATTCCCCTCTCATTATCTATATATTGTGCACAATTCTCTCACTGTGTCTCCAGTGTTGTCCCCGCCAGGGCTACAGCTACGGTTTAGTGAGGGCTGTCATGTTTTGTGGTGGGGCTGGCCCTATGGTCCTCTCAGTGTGTTGTCTGCTCCAAGCAGGAATATCGTCCTCTGGGCTTAGTGGGCCAGAATGTCCTCCTCTCCCTCTCCATCCCTTCCTGCTTTTCCCATGTACTCTAATCAGACATGCCCCTTTCCCCAAGCTGTGTAAACCTCTCAATTGTTTCCCTGGTACATGCTGGTATGTTGTATTCACATCTTGGCACATGGGGTTGAAGCCTGGTCTCTCTCTCCCTCTCCTGGGGAGATACAAACAATACCCTCCCCTCTTGGGTGGGTTAGGGCCCTCCTCCACACACCCCCATCCATGTCTTTTTTTCCCTCTCTCTTTCTTTCCCCGTCTTATTTAGCTGGCTGCCCTATGTATCCCTGGATTGGGTTTGGCCCCTGCCATAGTTGCTGGACCTCACCCTTCATTTCCTCAGCTTCAACCTGAACTTTCTTAAGAGCAATTGATGATCTCTTCCAGAGTCAGCACCTTGCTTGTTTTTAGTTACTGATATGAGTTTTTCCACTGTCTCTTTCTACAGATTTAGTCGATTTGATTTCTGTGTATTCCATCTGGAGAAGTCCATGTGTGCAGCTTCAATTTATGTTGTTGGAAATAGCTGTTTGCCACGAATAAGTTGCTGGTCCTGCAAGAGTTTGTCAGGCAATATCTGCCTTAGTTTCTATCCCCAAGGCCTTATTTTCTGATGACTCCTTCCCCTTTGTTTCTAATGTTTGCATTCCAAATATTTATGAAATATTCTCAATATTTACCAGTGCATCTTGATTGCATGTTTGAGCAATTTCAAACTGAAGTCCTCAATTTCTTTATCCATAGCTTTGGTGGTTGGTGCATAAATTTGAATTGACAGGATTTTCTTCAATATGATAGATATAATCCAATTATAGACAGCATTGCATTTCAAAGTAGATGTCGGAATATTCTTTTTGATCATGACTGCACAGGCATTCTTCTTGATTGTGTCATTCCATGTACCGTAAACCACACGATTTTATGGTTGGAAAGGGCTACTACTAGACCCTTTCAGTTCACTAAAGATATTAATATTTATGCCTTCCCTTTCATTTTTGGTGACTTCCAATTTTCCGAGATTCAGAGTTCACACATTTCAAGTTCTTATTACTAGATTTTTTTCATCTGTTCCTTCTTATTTTGAGTTGTGCCACATCAACAATAGATGATCTTTAAGATTTTACTCACTTAGGCTTTACTCCATTCAAGTCATTAGGGTGGACTCTAATTTGAGAAGACAGCTTTTCCTCAATCATATTTTGTGTGCTTTCTGACCTGAGGGGCTCATCTTCTGGCATTGTCTTTAAACAATAGTATGCTCCTATTCATTAAACCTT